CACGGGGAATTCATCCGAGATAATGAGGTTAAACAAAACCTTGAATGATCTACCATGCAGATAAGAGCTTAACCATTCCACTAAGAAGAAAGGTATGCCAGAGGTTTAAAGATAAGTAGTCTATGGTTAACCATATCAAACGCTTTGCTAAAGTCAGTGTCTATGACATCAGTGCGAGAGCCATTAGAAAAAGCCTTGAAAACATGAGAAGTAAACTCTAACAGATTGGTGACCGTAGATCTTAACTTTCAAAAGCCATGTTGGACAGGAGAAATATACAATTTCAGGGAAAATGCTATATGCTGAGCCAGAATTCGCTCGAACAGCTTAGGTAAGACACTCAACTTGGCAATGCCTCTGTAGTTCTCTACAAGTTTCCTACTACCACTTTTGTGAATAGGAATAAGGGAACAATTCTTCCAACACAACGCCTCCTTCCACTGCCTAAATTCAAGAACTTGTTAAAAATCTTTGAGATAACACCACATAGCTCGCCAGCACAAGATATAAGTACACATGAGGGGATTCCATCAGGGCCTGGCAAAGAATTATATTTTAGAGAGCTCAATCCTTCAAAAACATCATTTTCAGATATAACAAAGTTAGGAATTGAAATCAAACTGGAAATCGGATGTGGATAGTTTTCCGATAAATCAAAATTAGCAGTTTAAAAGTTCTGTCGGGAGTATTCCGCAAAGGGATTTGAGATTTTAAAACCACCTGGGGACTCGGAGCCATTAAAAGACACATGCGAGGGATTTATGGAGATGGAAGAATTTTCTTGGGAATTAACGAACTTAAAAAAGTATTTAGGATAAACAAACAAGGAGGATTTAACAAACTGAAGGAATCTGCAATAGTATTGGCGGTTAAGGGAATTAAATATATGCCTTGCCACTGAGTATGCGAAATAGTCGAAAGAAGAACCACTTTTCGAAAATTTTTTGAAAAGCTTGTTTTTCCTATTCTTGTAGTATTTAATTGTTTTATTAAACCACGGGGGACACTTGCTTCGAGGACGGGACTGCTTGATAAGAACGGATGCAGAAATAAATTGATTAAATATATTGTAGAACGATGACAGTAAGCTGTCAACACTTCCCACTGAGAAATCAAGCACAATATGAAAAAGATGTGATTTTAGCATGGAAACATTGATTTAATGGAAATCATAAAATTTATATGAACAATTTGAATTTGGAACTTTATAGCAGTTCAACGAACCAACATGCTTGTAGTGAAAGGAAATACCCAATGCTGGATGGTATGGATCCTCAGGTACACAAAACGGAAGACAACGATTAACGCAAACCTCAGGAAAATTGGCAAAGCAAAGATCAAGCAATCTACCGTTGCAATTAGTGGTACCATTGTATTGAACTAAATTATGATCAAATAATTCGTTAAGGAACATAACGGCTCTATCAGATGTTGAGGTAGGAATCAAACAGCCAGAACAATTACTGTAACACCAAGTGACTTGAGGCAAGTTGAAGTGACGCAACGCAACGATCAAATCAGTGGATTTTGACTGCTTGGCCACTTCACAAATGAGGGCAGCCTATTTCTTATATATGGAGATATCCGAATTTGAGGGAATATGGGTTTATAAGTAGCTTTTTACTAGCCATTTTCGCCCGAATGGCGATAAATTCAACGTCGAGAGTAGTAGGACATTCACTTGAATAGGATGGGACTGCAGTAGGTATGGCAATTGAAACACCGCCACTATTGCATTACAATCGGTCATTTCTGAACTCTGAAACGAATTATGGAAAAGTTCCGACGAATGCAGATCAGGCTTTAACCAAGTTTCAATGAAGGCCAAGTAGGAAAACTCTGCCGTCACTGGATTTAGGAAAGTAGAACGAACTGCTGAATTTAGGTCCCTAACATTTTGATAAATGCGAGATAATGAGCCTGAAGAAACATTTAGTTTTTTGAAGGGGAAAGAGCTACTGCATTACTATTAAGGGGTCGATCCCGAGGGATAAATTCCTTAATTAAGAATCCAACCGGCCACAATGGTTTATTTAACATCAAATCCATATTTTCAGTCGGAACTAGAATTTTAAAAGATGAGATAGCTCTAGATTAAGAAGGAGAGTTTAGCAATGTTTAATAGTGTTAAACGATGTTTACTTACAACGGGGACAACGTAGTTTTTCTAGGATTTGACGAAGAAGAAAAACTGTTGATACAAGTGGGAGATACAGGAGAGGAAAAAGAAGAAGCGACAGACGTACAAGATATGATAGAAGTGGCAGAATAACTGATTAAGGTGTCAGATTGGCAATCACGGCTGTCAGAAAAACTATACTTTACCTATCATCAGTGTTGTCAAGGGTATTCTGCTGCACTTAAAGAATAACAGTCGAAACCAATTTCGCAATTATCAAACAAAATGGGACGGCGCTTTTTCAAACTTCAACAAAAGGGATGTCAGTTTTCCAATTATGATTATATCGTATTCCTTTTGTACATTTTCACTTAAAGCTTACCAATTATTGAAAGCAACTCTGTTTTCTCTCTGTTCTCAGCATATGATAATTTTTTTTATTAACCATGTAAAGGAAAAAACCGGCTAACGGTTTGTAGCGAGAAATCAAAGCCAAGTGCGAAAAGAAGTTGTACGAAGTACGCAAAGAAATTTTAAACATATAAAAATATAAAAGAAAGAAGTTTTACGAAAATTAAATTAAAAATTAGTGTGGTGTTTAATAAACTAAGTTGTTGAGGGAAAAGAAGGAATTATATACTGATGCAACGCGTATTTTTCACATCTAGTGAAAAATGAGACTATTTTTATAAATCGGAAAGGAAAACGCATTCTAAACGGAATCGTAGTAAGCAATCGAAATGTTTTTATGTTTATACAAATATATAGACATATTTTTCTAAATTTGCGATCATGAAATGAAAATCATGGCAGTCTATTTCAAATTTCCCGCATCGACCTATCGTTCACATGTATAGGAACACTTCGGTAAAAGAGTTTAGCTGGAAAAACATTGGACTAGGCATGATAACAATTCTTGGCCCATCAGTAAACGGTACAAAAAGAAATGAACACGCCAAAAAACTACATCTTGTAAGGAAGCAGCGAAACAGCCAATCAGAAAAGCCCATTAAACGCTCCTACATCGAGCATCGAGCAGTGGTACGACTGGATAGTACCAAAAAGGGGAAGCCACCGAATAGTCTAAGCACCGGGAGTGCAGTGACGCATCGAACGCAGCTACCACCCCGAAAAATAGATATGAATATAGGCTATGTTAAAAAAAAGAGCATTAAAAAAAATAAAAATAAGGGTAGAAAATAAAATTAAAAAAGAAAATAATGAAATAAGAAAAAAATACAACAAAAAATAAACGCAACAATAATAATAATAAAAAAAAAACGAAAATATAAGTAAAAAAATAAATATATATATAAATGTGTATATAAATAGATAAAAAGAAAGAAATACATCAATAAGAAAAAAACGAGAATAAATAGATAAATAAAATAAAGAGATAAAGGAGAGAAACCAAAAAAAAAAAAAAAGAGGAAAAAAAAGTTTTACAAAACCAATTGCTATAAAAATCGAAGAAAGCAAAACATGCTCAGTCTTATAAAACTTAAGCCCCGTTACTCGGATTAACGGTACCCAAATAGAACACTGGAATTCTTGCACACAAATACTGTTTCAATGTAAAGAATGCAAGACAACGTAATAGCTGCACGGCATTACAAGTGATCATTCTCGAGACAACAGTGAATTTTTCAAGTAAGTAACTAAGCAGCGAAGCAAACTATACAACAACAAGAATTAGATCAATAGCAGCAAACTCAACGGCCAATCCTAATATATCCAGATTTTCCATCTCGGTTATTAGGATGGATTACGAACGGCTGAGTTATGACTGCGAGATCGCCTGGATAAAACCTTGAGAGATCGCGTGGGTATAATGAGCCCCTTTGTGTACATAAATTTCCCAACAACGTTGGGACATTCTTCACAGGTGGACACGCAGCATCAACCTCTTCAACATATCAGCATTGCTGCTACCCACCTCCACGCGCAAGCACTGGTTGCTAGCAATCGTAAGCCAGCCTGGAGTAAATCAGGGCAAATCCAGCCATATACACAAAGTCGACTCCAAAAAAAACGTCGTGCCGGGAGTAGAAATCATCGACAACGTCCGTAAATTCCTCTGCAGAGAGTATCAAAGCCGATACAAAGTCGAAGTGGATTTCAACGACATTTTTCTTCCCGCAGCCATGGTAGAAACTCCACAGCAGGATAATCTGAACGATTGTGAGTTACATACCCTTGAGAATATGTATATGTGAAATTCTACAAGAAGAGCAAAAGAGGTGCTACAACCTGAAGAAGAAGGGAAAAGTCGCAAATATTTGAATCCAGTACAAAGCGGAAGGAGATCATTTGAATACTCTAGCATTCTATGCTATAGATTCTGCAACCATATCGAACCCAGTCAATAATGTTGTTATAAATTTGTTGCTGTCGCCTCATTTTACTAGTTCATTTAATCAGTCTCTTAATTCGCCAAATTTATATGAAGAAATTGTATGTACAGACTCGCTCATTTAATCAGTCTCAGAAATTGTATGCAACAAGTGTCTGAGAATAATAATAAATAGAGCAAATAATAAAAAAAACATGAAAGAAAAAACAATTTTATGTTGTTTTGGTTTATTTCGCCTTTTTTAATACAAATTTTGCGAGAAAATGCAAACCAAAAATGTTATGGATCGGATGCAGGCAAACCTGCTTTCATGTATTGTTTGTCAAGCATTCTAGAATATTTTGAAATTTCTTCGTATTTCCCCATAAAATATCTCCATTAAAATTTATTGAAATGGTGAACGCATGCCGCCAAAACCGAAAGTACTAGCAATCAATCCCAACCCGTTGACATGTTATAACCGTTTTTATCCTGAAAAGTAGGTGCACAACGCCTCTGAAAGTGTAAAAAAGAGTATTTAGTGTTTTTCTTATTTGAAATAATTATAAATAGATAAAATAGTAAACGCTTACCTAACGTGGTCTTGAAGATCTCAATATACTAATTCGTATAACATTGCTGGCTGCCAATCATGAGTTTCGAATAAATGATAGTTTATACCGACTTCTTGGCACGGTTTTCTACACCACCTTTGAGGTACCGTGATGGGCGCGCTGCCAATTGTTTTAAATGGCTGGCTACCCGGTAGACCTGCACCATTATAAACTTAACTAAAAACTACAATAATATTTACAATAATAATAAATAATAATAATATATAATAATACATAATAATACGTAATAAATAAAGGCCCCTCTAATATATACTTACATAATGATACATAACATACTTATAAAACAAGTAAAAAAACATTTAAACGCCTAAGACCGCTGTGTGCCGGTGTCCTGACATTTGCTAAAGAAAAATATTGTGACTAATAAATTTTATATATAAAGATGACCACAACTTACCATTTGGCGTATGGAAAAGTCGCATTCCGCTGAAGCGATGTGTGGAGACGTATTCTTGTTTTGTAATCTAAACTGAAATAAAAAGAAAATGAATAAATTGTAATAATGATAAGTAAAGATAAACGCAAACCTAACTTTCGTATGTAACGAATCGTCATCGATATGAGGCGATGAAGCGATGAGCGTAGAGTTGGATTTCATTTTTTTCTTATCTAAAATAAGACAAATAAATAAATAATATACAAATATATATATATAATAATATATTTACGTTCACTTTACCGGTGTAATACACGATTCTCTTTATTTGTATCTTGGGCGGACCTTTTACATCCTGAAATAGAAAACAAAAAATAAGTAATTTGTAAGAATTCATATAAAATTTTAATTACTTTTACTTTGCTACGTTTTCCGCGCGATGTTCCTTCAAAACGACGACACATTTGTGACAGGTTTTTGAACCCACTTTATCCCAGTCAGCAAAAAAATGATTACGAAGCCTAGCAGATTTGTTCGGTGCGTCACTCCGTTATTGCAGGAGCCTGCTTCCCTGAAGAAGGCAACACGTGCTCCGATTGTTGCCTGCAGGCGCTTGTCGATGTCGCGTTCCACCACATGTTTCAGTATCACGAACTTGTATAAGTCGAAGTCGTTATGAAATGCGTCATATACTTCAGGTTTTGCAAGTTCGGATTTTAGATATTTGTGGGTTTTGATGACAAAGTCTCTCGGGTCATTTGCATCTTCTTTTTTCATGACTTCTAGACGTGCTTGGCAGTGCAGCTGCTCATGTATGTACTGGGCTATTCCGTAGCCCATGAGCAGCCAGATGTAGTCCGCCTCTTTTCCATTTATTTGTCCGAATATCATCGAATGGCAGGAAATCTTCTTCGGCCTAATCTTCCGTCGTACAATCCATCTTCTCTATAAGATGATAATCATCGGTGGTAGATTGTCAGCGGCCCCAAAAATCTTTTTGCAATTTAATTAGACGCCTGATCAGCCTCCTTACTTGGGTCGCCTGTCTGGTACGTTCTCTCCGCACTGGCGCAATTTTGCAGAAAAACCTCTCCAAGAGGTTCTGGCTTACCATGTAGACCTGGGTAGTTATGTCAGAGTAAGCCTCCAGCAGCCCATCCATTAATTTCATAAATCTGTCGATTGTTTGCACGGTGTCGGCCGCTAGCAGGTCCACCTCAGGGGTGGTTTTAAGGTGATCTCAAATTTGAAAATGGGTCGATTGGGCCATGATAGTCGAAACGTTGCAATTTACTGCCTGTAACAGACATGCATTTAAAGTTTGGTACATATTTAGGGTGAGAAATTAAAAATTGGTTGGCAAAGCCTACCGCCTTAATTATTAAAATGCCTAAAAATTGTTGTCCATCGCTTGAGGTGGCAACATTGGGGCGAAAATATAAACTTTTTCGTTTTCCTTTGTAACAAACTAATGCGTTTTAATGCAATCTATTGCTTAGCGTTCAGTTAGTATCTCATTGCTGGTAAGTATTCCAGATAAATACGAAAGCATTCAATTATATTTTTCAGATAGAATGTTTTTTCAAATTGCACATGATTTCGGTTTTTACCTCTAGTCGTTAGGAAAGCTTTTCAAACTGTTATTTTTCTGAACATGAAATGTGATTGAAAATTTTTGCATTTTTTTTTGAACCGCCATTCAAATTTGCGAAATAAATGTTGCATCAACCTAATGCCGTTGGAAGAGTAGGGTATAAACACTTTATACCAAATTACCGAAAAACAACGTGCTTAAGTGGTATCCCTTTACGTTTTGATGAAAAAAGGAATAAGAAAAATTAACACACATTCACGCCCACCGCACGTTATAATCAGCACCTTTAGAGATCGAAAAATCCGCGAAAGGAGACAGAACCTAAATAAATCATGTGGATTTTTTGTTTGTTTTTTTTTTTCTTTTTCTTGTTAGCAATCTTTTCAGTGATTATTTATTTACTGTCCGCCTAGTTTGATATTGGAATGCGTTACCGTTGATGAATTCCTTGAATACGTTTAGAAGAAAATTGGCCTCGTTTTTAAACTCGTAAATATCTTTCCTCACTCGTAGGGAACGATCATTTGCGGTATTTTGGAGCAATACAATTGCTTCAGTAGCATTTCAATCGAAATAGACATATACCTATGTCATAGTTACATATATTGTACTTCTGTAGACTGACCTACAAAATTCTAAAGTAATTCATGTTCCATATATTTCGTCATTCTGTGTATAGTTAAATCTGTTTTTGTGCGGTATTTTTTTATACTACGATAGGTCGTACTAAATTCTATATATTTTTAGAATATCTCCACGTCTAAGATCAGAAGTGAGGTTTGGCCATTATTTATTGTAACTTCTTTCTGCTTTCTTGTTCTTCTATAATGCCTTGAAATATTTTGTGAGGGAAACCAATTTTTTGCTATTCGTCTCCATTGCGTAATCTAAATGTTCTTGAAATTGTTGTCAAATATCATTTGTCACAGCTATTAATCGAGTTTTTGAATATGTTTTTGCTGAGACCTGCGCCAAGTTAGCTAACCGTACCTAGTGCAACGATAGTAGAAAATAACCATATACTAGCAATAACAACAATAATAAGATTACCATGGAAGTTTTAGCAGCAGACAAGCGAGATACGTAACGATTTAGTTAATTTGCTTTTTTCGCTTCTAATGAATATCGGATTGAAATTTCAAACGATTTATATGTATTTTCCTTATTTATTCTCAGATTTTGCTAGGACAGAGGGGCAGGTTGAAAAACATGAATTTACCACTTCACAAAATTTCTCATAGGTGCATTTCAATAGGAAATGATAAGAGCGATTTATTCTTACTTTGCTGTATATGTAGACTATGTAGATTAGGCGTTGTACGTAAAATGTATTTACGAAAGGCATTGACACGTGAACATGAATGCTTGCATTTTCCTTTATAGCTTGTTGTGATATTATTTATTGACCAGAAATATTTCTTCTGGTATAAAAGTATTCCAACGTTATCTATTAAAAGTGATAAGTAAACAAAGAAAAAAAAAAAAAAACAAATAAAAAGATTATTATGCATGGAGGTGAATCTTAAACAGCCAAAATCTTACTTAAATTGTTGACAGTTGAAGCTTTCATCGAGCAAATAATCATCATCTTTATTTAGACATGACCTTGATCAAGCCGTGTTTTTGTTAAATTTATTGACGGAACATGATGCAAGAAGCGCAAGCAACTTTATTCATTTTCTAAAGTCCGGCCTATGTCAGTTAATTAAGAAAACTTTTTAAGGTGTTCATGATATTGAGAATCACAATTGGATCTTTATAGGATTACACGCCGCCGTATGTTTATTTTTGAACACCACAAATTGAATGACAACATCAGTATACTTGCAATCTAGATCGATGACTGCAATAATTTGAACTTCTTTGAAAATTGTTGAGAAGAAATGTGTATAACATTGAAATAAGAGAAATTGCGATGCTCTTCCTTTCTCTATCTCTGTTTTCGTGAAGATCTTTGACTTTTCGTTAGATTTTGCTAAAAAAATTCAAAAAAAAGCATAAAGATGCATACAAATAATTTATGTTTCTTCATAACTACAGTAAAACGTTTAGTGAAATTTCTTAGTTTAAAACAAGTAAAACAGTGTAGTGAGTCAAGAACCACCATGAAATATTCTACAGCACTTCGCTTAATACAGTTATTCATGACGGATGGTCGAAAAATTCGTTCGATTTGAACCGGTTTCAACAGCTTCTTCCTAAAGTCAAAATACGTTGGTGTACCAAATTTCGTTAAAATTTCTCAAAGATTGCGATCCGTAGGTTGACCACTTGAAGATTAGATGGACAGATGAACAGACAAGCTAAGATCCTTTCGGAAAGTGACTCTGAGTTGACCGGCATAATAAAAGCTTCTGCTATCCTAAGTGCTTCTGAGGATTTACCTCATACTCTTGTAAAATGTAAGAATCAAAATTTTTGCTTTCACATTAATAATCATAAAAAATTAACAATCATGCACTGTCATATGTTTTTTCTTTCACAATACCTGAAAGAAAAATCATACCTGTAAGGAATTTTTCGCCTGTAATTTCGGGCTTTTCATCAAGCGCATCGGAAAGTTGCCTTTAGGTACATTTAAAATGCAAACAAACACAGGTTACATAGGCTTCATCAAGACTGCCGTTCGCTATTTTATTTACATTATTATAAACCGTTCTTGAGCTAAAATGATCCAGCAAATCTCCTCCCCAGGGGCAGTGGTTACGTGAAATCGATTTTTACCTCTAAAATCCATACAATGCCTGCATCCAATCGCTTGTTAAGAAAACATTTATCATATTTATATTTTAAATGAAAATGACAAAATTCCTCCCGTACAATTTTTTGGTTTCATGTAAGTTAATATCATAATGCGTTATGACAAAATTGGAATAGTTTTGTCAACATTTTTAATGAAATTAATGTAAAGCAATAACTTTTCTTTTTTTAATAGGCAACCTTTATTTCATGAGTAGACATGGCGGAGAGCGATTCGCAAGCTTTGAGAGCTCCTATCAACAAACGAGAAGTTCAGAATGAACTGTTTGGCGTCGATTATGAATTCGGCTATTGAATTATATATATCCTTAAATGTAAAGCTTAAAACGTGAATTTCTGTTTTTGACAGATGCCTCAAAATCGTCAACCAAAGAAAGAGAGGAAGAATATTGTGACAAGCAATGGAAGTTGGACGGTCTTAGGGATAAGATTGTGGATTAATTGTAAAAATGAATAAAAATTTTATTATAAACCTAAAACCCGTCTATAACAGATGCTAAAACTTTTAAAAAGGGGTTTTTCCAAGAACGATTTTTCAAGATGCCATGCAAAATAACTTTGGACCAGTTACACCACGTGCAGTGGAGCGTTAATACCAAAATATTTCTTAACTTAATTTTGCAGTTTAATACTTCAATGTACGCTTAATAATAGCCATTTCGAATGTTATTATTTTAATATCCTTCCTTCCATCTCAAGAAAATTCTCAAAGAGGTCGTTTTTTTAAAGCACTCTTACGGTCACTTCCCCTGCCCAACGTATACAAAAGGGATCTGAAAAGTTATATTCAGCTCAAATTATCAGCCTGCTTGGCCATCTTAACACAAACAAATTTCTGCATAAGATATAAAAATATATCAAGGGTTGAGGGTGTTTGTTGGCATATGTGTCAAGTGTTAACTTTTTATTCTATTCCTGCCGATTTTGAGAACAAGTAAACTAAACGTTCAGATGGACCAAAAGGTATTTACATGAACAGTAATCTCTATATACGCATACCAAAATGACATGCTTTTTTGCCATGCGAAGAGTGCAAGCTGTAACTTTCTTTTACTACAGTATTTTTTACGGTACTCATGTATTAAACTTTCTACTGAACGAAGACTTTATAGTTTAATTGTTTTGAGTTGTAAATTTCGTTTTGATAAGATAAGGATATTAATTTTACGTTCTTTTGTTGTTTGGTTTTTCCAGTCTTCAATTTTTAGACAAAGGGCTGTCCAGGTATGCATGAATTTGATATTCTATCTAAGTGTGCGTTACATACTGATCAAAGTAATGTTATTCATAGTGCGATATAAAATTTTAAGTAAATCTGAGAATTTTCCATAATAGCGTTATGGCATTAAAATAACTTAATTCATCAAATTCCGAATTGCTTACAAGATCGAAATATTTTTTCATTATGCATAAATAACTAAATATAAATAATAATTCAGAAATATGTTAATGTGAAGAGATAAGATTATAAGACAATATCAAATTTTTCGTTTCTACCGGACATTATCCCTTTTCTCTCACTCTCTCTCTTACCTTCTCTGAATAAATTTCTTTTTCTCTTTCCATTTACTAATCTAATCTCTTTGTTAAAAATATAAATTTTTAGGTTTACACTTAATTTCCTTTGTGCAGAATTTGTATGTTCTTAAGTTTCGTTCTTGCTGTTAATGTTGTTGTTGCTGTTGTCTTTTCTATAGATGCCTAGGTGCAGAAAATCTTACGGTTGTGTTTAGCCATCGACATGTTTAAAGTGTTAGTTTTTACGTTGATACTGAAACGGCTTGATCGTGTTAATATTTTAAGATATTTTTGTCTTTATCGCTCATTCTCGACTAAGCGACAAATCGTGAGGTGCGCAAGAACGGTGATAAATTAAATTATTTAATATAATTATTACTATTTATTTAGTATAAAAAAATATTGAAATTTTTGATTTTTAAAGAAATTTTTCAAAGAAAAAGGAATATGGAGAGTAAATATATATAAATATATATATACATACACATATAGATATCATAAAGGGTTCCAAAAAGCTTCTATGAATATATTTTATAAACTAAGTAAAAAAAAGTAAGTCATAAATGCACGATTTTAGAAGCAATTAATTGTTATTTAATTGATACAGTGTCGTAACCAAGTATTTTTAATTTTTTTTAACGGTTTTAAACGGCGGTGTCATAATCTCATTAGATTATCAATGCAACGATATGCACAATATTCTTGCAAAATAAATTGATCGCATTTTCTCATCTTCTTGCGTTTTTTCTCTGTTCTCTTCGTTTTTCTAAATACTTCTCTTTTCTCCTTTCTGCCACCCTCTCACAATTATTGAGAGAATAATTACACATTTAGTTGTATTGTAAGCCAAAATAAAGATGACTGTTGACAGCCTTTACAATCGACCGGGACCAAATAGTCTCAAGGAAGCAGAAAACTTTTACACCGTCGATATAAGGCAATGCGTTAAACTTCGTATATCAAAAGAAGGACCAGGATCTGATGAGCCTCTCTCGATACCTGGACTATTAAAGCGTACCGTTAACAATTATCCTGATTATCCAGCTCTTAGATACCGCTCAGGGAAAAGAGATTATCAAACTGTTACGTACAGGTGTAAAACGTATCATAATTTAATAAAAATTTCATTAATAAAGGATTTGTATCTTTAATTTATTTATAGGCAATATGAGCAGAATGTTTGTCAAATCGCTAAAGCCTTTATCAAGTTAGGTTTAGAAGAACATCATGCAGTTGGGGTATTGGCCTTCAATTGTCCTGAATGGTTTTATTCAGCAATGTCAGCTATACATGCTGGCGGTATTATAGCCGGCGTTTATACTACAAATTCAGCGGAAGCAGTTCAGCATGTCTTGGAAAACTCGAATGCTCAAATTGTGATCGTAGATGATAGCAAACAAATGGAGAAAATACACAGCATCAGGAATAAACTGCCGAAATTAAAGATCGCTGTACAAATTCAGGAACCCTATGCTACGTTTATGCTTAAAGAAAATGGTTATTTTCGAGTACGTTGCACTTTATTTATTATCATAAACGTCTTGAATAGATTTGTGCTGTATTTTTTTAGTGGTCTGAATTGGAATCAATGAATGTTGCTGATGTGGAACATGAGTATCAGAGACGTTTGGAAAATATAGCCATTAATGAGTGTTGTTGTTTGGTCTATACGGTATTTAAACAAAATATATTTCGATTTATTTCAGTAAATCGCAAATTATTTTTCTTATCATTTTTGTCTCTGTATCTGCTCATACATAGTCTGGTACTGTTGGTATGCCGAAGGGGGTTATGCTTAGTCATGATAATATTACATACGATAGCCGTGTCATACTTAAGTCATTGGAACGTGTGATTATTGGCGCTGAAGTATTGGTCTCTTATCTGCCGTTATCTCATGTAGCTGCTCAAACTTCTGATATATACACAATGGCTATGGTTGCTGGTTGCGTTTATTTTGCCGATAAAGATGCTTTAAAAGGAACACTGGTTAAGACGTTACAAGATGCTCGTCCCACAAGATTTATGGGTGTACCACGTGTTTATGAAAAATTTCAAGAACGCATGGTTACTGTCTCTGACGCTAGTGGCAGTTTAAAACGTATGTTAGCTAGTTGGGCTAAGGGTGTGACGTTGAAGCATTACATGCAGAGTCAAGGGTAAGTAAAGTAATGCTTCGAAACTAATACTTATTGGAGATGATGTAAAATTTTAAGTGCATGGAGGTTTGCTATCTAAAGCGTTCAAGTAGAGTTAAACTAAACTAAATATAGTTTAAAGTTTCTTTATGTTATTTGAACAAATAGTTGTTTTTTTAAGTTCTCATATATTTCGAGTGTCAGGAACTTTGAGAAATATTTTGTACTTATATTTGTTTGCATGTACAATTTAAAGGATAGTGAGAAATGAGAGAGAATATCTCTAAGTGCATAAGATGGTTTACCGCAAAAACTGGCAGTGTTGAGGGGTATTTGTACAAACCGATGACCAACCGAGTTGGTGGGTCGTAATATTAGATTTACGACGCATACCTGTTGCAAAAATTGGACTCTTTCCAAACAATATTAACTTAGCTGGTGTCTTCGTTTTTTGTCTTACATTTCTTATTACTATCCTCCAGAGTTGTAGTTATCGTCTGTTCATTTTCCTTTTTCACCACTTTTAAACTTTCGTGGTTTAGTTAGAAGCACAAAAAAGGATTGAGAACAACCAACAATTTGCACGGCAATGATTAATTGCTGAACATATATTTGGTTTAGGCAAGTAACTACCACACAAAGTAATTTCTCTCTTTAGAAAAATTAGTGATTTCCGCTACAAGATTGCGAAATCCTTAATTATGTCCAAAGTTAAATATGCTTTGGGATTAGACCGTGCAATAAGCTTGGTTAGTGCGGCGGCTCCTATGTCGCCAGAAACGAAAAAATACTTTTTAAGTTTGGATATGAAGATTTTGGATGCTTTCGGGATGAGTGAAACGGCTGGATGTCATTGTTTATGTTTGGCTGACGCAGTCGTATTGAATTCGATCGGTAAAACGTTACCGGGCTGCGAAACGAAAATCATTAATAAAGATGAAAAAGGTCATGGTGAGGTATGAAGGAAAACCTTTGCGTTAATTAACAACCAGAAAAAATATATTTTTAATATCTCCTTAGATCTGTATACGAGGTCGCCATGTTTTTATGGGCTACATTGATAATAAAGAGAAAACGTTAGAAGCTTTGGATGATGACGGTTGGTTACATTCCGGTGATGTCGGTTATATTGATGACAAAGGTTATACTTATATAACGGGAAGATCAAAAGAGATAATTATAACCGCTGGCGGTGAAAATATCCCACCTATACATATAGAGAATTTAATAAAAAAAGAATTGGACGCTATATCAAATGCCGTACTAGTTGGAGATCAACGTAAATATCTAACGGTTCTGTTAACCATCAAAGTGAGTTCATTATTATAAATCAATGCTTGAGAAATTTCACTGCTTTTTTTAACTTACGTTTTCTTAGACCGAAATGGACAAAGATAGTGGAGCACCTTTAGACGAACTCAGTTATGAGTCTTTAACGTGGATGAAATCATTAGGTGTTAATTATACTACCTTAACGGAAATTTTACGAGCTGATGCATCTCCAAAAATTAGTCAATCTATTGAAGAAGCTGTTAAGCGCGCTAATAAAAATTCTATTTCTAATGCCCAAAGAGTACAAAAGTTTACCATACTACCACATGATTTTTCCATACCCACGGGCGAACTCGGGCCAACCCTCAAAATAAAGCGTAATGTAGTCCTAAAACGTTATAATGGATTAATAGAAAAAATGTATTTGGAGTAAAAGAAGAAGGAAACCCCGTTATTCTATTAACACCTAGAATCCAAAACCAAAGTTATAATTTCAACAAGGGATGGTCGCGAGAAAAACAAAAGTAGAAAAATAAAATGCTTTCACTGTCTCTTTCTTTGAGAATTGAAGATTTTCCTTTGAGCTGCCTTTTCCTTTCCATAAAAGTCAATTCTGCCACAAGCCAATTATTAAAATCAATAAAAATTGCAAAACTTCTAAAGCTTAAAAAGCTTCGCTTTTAAATGCGAAAAGTTTAAAAAGTCATGCCTCTGCTGACGTAAATAAACGACTGACAATTTCTTATACATAAATTCTTTTTTTTTGTGCGTATTTCTCACGTCTGGTTATAATGTACAGCTACACAAAGAAATACTAACATAATTCTGCATAATATAGCAGTAATAGCAGCCTAAGGCAATTACAACAACAGAAAGTCTGTCTCGTCGCACTACATCGGCCAGCAGACAGAATAAATTTTAATTTATATACAAACTTAACAAGATTGAAAACCAGGCGTACAGAATATTTAATGTGTACATGTTTGGTAAACATCGCATGGATTCAATGGAACACATGTTAAACACGCCAAATCAACGTACAGATAGATGTGCATATGTAAACACCGTTGTATATACGTATTTCTCTGTATGTATATGCAGTCAGTATTAAAATATAAAACTCATATAATCATTTGTATATGCAATACATATATATATGTATATATATATATATATATATATATATATATATGTGTATATATGCAATATATACGCCATATAATTATTTGTATGCAAGTAAACGTAAAATTACGTAGCATTGTTTTTGTATCTTGTTTTTGTTTTTTTTATACCCATCAGCCAAGGATGAGATGTATATGCATTTTTCAAAACGTTTGCAACGTTTAGAAGGACGCATCAGAGACTCCACAAAGCCTGTACATACTTGATCAGCATCACATTCTAAATCGATTTAGGCATGTCCGTCCGTCCGGTGCGTAACATCTATTGTAAGCATTCTTCTGGTCGGAAAAGTGACGCTATCGATTTCAAATTTGGCAGAAACATTGGAGATCCGTGCACGCAGGTTGGTGTTGAAAATGGACGAAATTGAATTGAATATTATATGTATCAAAATTTAATTGTTTTTTCAATACCTTTATAACGCGTAGAAACAAGCTTCAAAAAGCCCATGAAGTATGCAAATTCTTGGCCAGTTTCAATTTTATAATGTATCTAAACATACAACTTTGTAGTATTTGTGGTAAATATTTGTTGCGAAAATGACGGTACCGACTACAAGTTTCGAAAAAAATTTGGAATTGACATAAACTTTTCAAAAGACACGCTTATAACGCCCTCATGCCTATACGATAAATACTTTTATTTTAAAAAGAGAAGATATCAACTGCACTCTTTCCATATTATAGAGTACGAAAATTTTGTTCTTCTACTTCTTTTCTCTTTTTTAGCATAACGGTGATGGGTATAAAAAATTCGATCCCGACCGAATTTAATTTTCTTACTTGTTGTTTTTACTTATGAATAGGTGTATGTTCGGTATATATGATTGTATGAATATAGTTAGATTAGTACGTACTTTTTGTTTGTACAAGAGGTACCGCAAAGAAAGAAAACTGGCTTTATGCAGTGGGGCATTCATGTAAACGCAAGCAAATGCATTCCGTTCAAAATATTAAACGTCTGCCATCATAATTCATTTAATTATCGATTTTTTAGTTTATTATACTTTCATATTTAATTCTCTCAGAACCTAACAGAGGGGAACTGCAATATTTTCGATATTTTGGAAAATTCTCCAAATAGCTTTCTTAGGCACTGCAAGACGTAAAGTAATTGTATTGCAATTGTGATTTTTTTTTATCTTTGTTTAGGGATTTAAAGAATACCAAACAACTACAAATAAATGTGAAGATTAAATAAAAGCACTAAATAGACAACTGGGGGAAATGAACAAATGAAAATTTTATCGACAATACGAGTGCATTTGAGTCTGCATACACTTTTTCACCAACTCTCGTAATCGTTGAGCTGCTTGAATGCACATGAATTATAAAGTTGGTAATAGATGGCTTAACGAAGCCTTTCTAAGTAAAGTGCAAAGATTCTTTAGATCGATTTTTATTATTCGGTAATAGTACAAGGCATAAATTAAGACGGATCCTTTTTTTAATAAATATTATAATTGAGTTTTGTATGTAATTTTTCACACTTATTAATCTAAGCGAATGTTTTCAAGTTATTCGCAAAATATATTCTTTGGCGCAAAATCCTCAATTGAACTAGCAATGTTTTTCGTCTATATGTGAATCTACTAACTGTCGATTCGTTTGTCGGACTGCCACTGGGTCACTCTTATTCCTTCGTCCGTTTTTCATGTGAATATCGGTCAGTCAATTTGTCGATCTCTTTGCAAGCCTGTCAACTCGATCGTAACATTTTTGATCTGTTTTTCAGCTCTTCTAATAGTCTTTTTGCCCGTTTTTTTTCTAATCCTATGCCAGCTCAGTTGGTAATTTACTTTACAATTTGATTGTACTTGTATTTCTTGTATATTTTCGCATATCCCCAAATTCCGAAAATAATGAAATTGATGCTCGAAAAAGCTTGTATATTATAGCCCTATACCAGACATCGATTTGAGAGTGTACCCTCATACTCACCAATGGACAATTTTTACAATTCTTGTTCTTCTTTACACATTTTTTATAATTCTTGTTCTTGCTCACACAATTTTTAGAATTCTTGTTCTTGCTCACACAATTTTAACAATTCTTGTTCTTGCTCACACAATTTTTGCAATTCTTCTTCTTGCTCACATAATTCTTGTTCTTGCTCACACAATTTTTACAATTCTTCCTCTTGCTCACATAATTTTAATACAAGTGGAACCAAATTGAAAGCAATTATAATTTCGAAAAGACCATAGGATACTATAACTGAATTAAGATGTACTTTGTTTTTAGCATAACATTTGTCAAATGCATATCATCCATCTATCGCATTAGTGACCAATGTCTTGGATCAAAAAGTAGTCAAGCTTTTCCCTACAAATCATGCTATCCATCCTAGTAAAATCCGTTCCGGAAGCATTATTTTGGTTCGATTGATGAAATAAAATTGAAAAGATTTAGTTACTTCTTCCTTCAGTGAAGTCGACCTGTTTATTGATATGGTACAACTTATCGTTTTTTGACTGCAGTAACATAAAATTATGGCAAGAAAATAGTCTATGCAAGATCAATGACCAAACAGAATCATGAAATTACCTTACATATTCTTCTAATCCATTATTCGTCTTGAAGCGACTGTAACTTTCGTTACTTCAACGAGTTAAACGAAACGAGTTAGAAAACCTACGGAGATCTTGATATTACCTGTAGAAGGTCACCAGGTAGAAGGTTGTACCAAGGAAATGATTAAGTTTATTAAAGCGCCTAAACTAACCATCTAGTTCATTAAGGGTTTAAAGTAACGATTGCGTTACCAATTTTGTCAAGTATTACATCGATTCCTTAACATGTTGTGTAGCATATATGCTTGTCAATTAGATGAAAGTGAATGTCCTCTGAGAAAATAATTTTCTTGAATAAAATTGCACGAAAATTTGATTAGTTCAAAATTTGGATTATTTTTAAACGGTGTTCGTACATCTGTTTTTCCAGAATTAGGTTTCTGAAAGCGACTAATAAACACAGAATGATTTCAATATTTAAAATATGACCGCAATCATATCACTCCCATTGAAAATCTGTTCTGATATTAGACATCGAAATCTACTGCATTCCTTAAAAACTTAATTAGGTAAACGATTTCGACAGTTAAGTAAGACTTGGAAACTCATTCAATCATTCATAGAAATTGCCAATCTTTGTTTTGCTTTATCTTTTTCATTTATTATCATCCAAGCCAAGTTATGATTTGCCTACTTCAACTTATTATGTACAAAATCTATTATTTTTATCAAGATACTGAATATAATCGAATCACACTTCACTTTCTAAGTTTTAGTTAAATTTATTCCAATTATTAGCAGAACAAAAATCACGTGCTTACCGATCATAGTAATAAACAATACAAGTATAATACAACATATTTCAAGCACCCTTGCAATTAAATTTATTGATATATGTATAGAGTATAATCACATTTATTCCATTTACGATGAAGCAGATCGAAGAAAAAATAGCCGATGATGAAGAGGAACAATGTGAGTGTTTGGTTTAATTCAAATTTTTTATTTCTACCAAATGTATTAATAGGAACTTTTTATCACTTGATTGATTAATTGTGGGATTCATTTTGGCATGCACAAGCGAAGGTACGCAAAACAATTCGAGTTTTGTTAAAATGCTCATTACATGTTCCATTATTAAGTGAAGGAGATTTAATAGTGGCTTGATTTGTGAGGTAAACACAGTTAATTGCCATTAGTATTCGAATTAGGTTACGTAATTTTAAGTGTTACGTATGAAAAGAAAAATTTGTTATACCCCTTACAGATAAATATAATGAGGAAAAGACCAAAACAAAATACAAATTGAAATGTATAACAGCAACAAATAGAGAAACCAAAGAAAATTTGAAATGTATAACAATAAAAAATAGTAAAACCAAACATATATATATATATGTATACATATACATTCTACTTTATATATACATATATATGTAGTAGATACATATAAAGTAGAAAGTTGTAAGTACATATATGAGTCTATATTTGCTATTGGAGGTATCCTTAAACGTACGGGGACAATGCACTATATTTTACTAAGATTTGGTAATATTTTGGAAAGAGAACATTTAACTTTTAGTTAGGTGAATTATCCACACAATTTTTAGAAATAGAAAGAAATATTTATCGTAGCATATCTTAAATTACTTGTGGTACAATGGTAGATTAGGTTTGCGCGGATGTATGCAATACAGAGAAGGACTTAAGATAAACCCGCCTTGTATTATACCGCTGGATTCACAAAAACTGTTTGCACCGATCTAAGCTTGTCTGTCCATTCGTCCTTCCATCCTTCTCGTAAACTTGTCCTCACCCTAACCTGTCTTTGAAATATCGTAATGAAAGCTGATACATTGACGTCGTTTGATCCAATAACGATCGCCATTGAAAATAGCTCGGTTCGGCCCCGTTTTTCGGCTATGCCCCATACAACATTTTGCTTTGAATGGTTGTTATATGAATAACTGTAATGTAGTGAAAGGTATTTAATGGTAGACCGTGGCCCATTACAGTGTTTCAAAAGTTTTTTATTATTTTCCTATTTGTGGAAATGTTATATGAAAAATGTTCTAATCGAACATCAAATACATTGTATTTAATTCGTTTGCACAGTTGTCTTCCAATTTTACCAAGATTTTACCATGTAATAGAAAATGTTCTAACTGATCATGCTTAAAAACAAAATCCGCGAGCATGGGTGTATACTGTGCTAAAGGTAAAATACGTTGAATAATAAATTTAAAAAAAAAAAAAAATGAAAAAGTCTTCTCAAGCAACGCTCTAATCTACATTTGTGCAAGTTTATGAATAGATTAAACTATATATAAATATAAATGCATATGTATATATAGTGAAGAGAGAAAAGATATATATGTAAAAACTATGTGGATGTGTGTATTTAACCATATAGCTTATTTCAAATGATGATAGCCTGTTATTTTAGT